AGACTTTTTTCTCATCATCATTCCCTAAACAATACAGTCCAACAACTGTTTATAAAGCATTATATTAGGTCTGGTAAGTAATCCAGAGATGATTTAAAGTGTACAAGAGGATTGCAGGGGTTACATGCAAGTCCCACATCATTTTATCATTCCCTGTGAGGGACTTCAGCATCCCTGAATTTTGGTATCAGTACAGGAATCCTGGAATCAATCTCCTTAGATACTAAAAAGCAACTGTAAACCATAGTAGAAGACAAAGGTATAAGAACACCCCAATAAAAGTATCAACAAATGGTTTGACAGCATAGAGAAGGGAGAGATGAATCCTGGTCAAATACCCCAAAGGCATTGCCAATTTTTTTTTTTTACCTAGCTTTTGCATAAGCAGTTTTACAACAAAATGCCCTAGAAAACATTAGCTATTAATTCTTTACCACAATATAGTACTAGATAATACCAAACTCCATGCAAGCCCTACAAAGAACATGAAAAACACTTTTTTTCCTCCTTCAAATAAAAATATTTATTTAAAATTAGTTTTCAGGGACAAATACATTCAACCTAATCTCTGATGTTCTATATTTTCTACCTCCATGCTTTATAATCATCATTGATGTTCAGATGCATGATCCCAAATAACTAAAAAGATCCTGAGGTCGCTGGGCTCAGTGCACAGGGATAATTTAGAGAAATGTTCAAAACATGCTAAATGAAAGAGAGCTTTCTATTTCTGTTACTTAATTGAATAAAAATAAAGAACCCAATTATCCCAGGTCCTCCTGCAAGCACATGGATTAATCAGTAGCTCAGTCTACACATCTCTTTAATAAATATGTTGTCTACCTTAAGGGTCCAGGGTCCACTGACTCCTCATGTCTATACCAGGAAACTACTATTATTACTTGCCTTGGGCCCACACAAAGCCAGTTGTTACCCTGACTTCATACTGGGAGGATATTAGTCACCGCCTGGATGCAGTGAACACGCTCCTAGTCATTGCAGAACGACTGGTAAGTTTATCTTTTTGGCATTTCCTTTTCACCAGAGTGAATTATGTGTCAGGATGCAATAGGCCCCTGTAACATGGATCTCTAAATGCAGTGGTCCAAGAAGGCAAAAGTGATTTCTGTAGTAACAGTTGAGGTAAATGATCCAAAGCTGATAGGGAAATTCAATGATGTTGGAGACCCCCTTGTTGCTCTGCCATCATTAAGAATTAGCACTGTCTGCAGCTCACCATGACATTCACCCTCAAGCCTAAGGGAAAGGGAAAAGAGGGGACATAAGATGACAGAGACCTTACTCTAGGAAAGACCCAGAAGTCACACACTTGATCTCTACTCACTTTCCATTATCCAGAACCCAGTCATGTAGACATGTTCTAACTACAAGGAAGATGAGGAATGCAGTCTTGTGCCTGGGCAGCATATGTTCAGATAAAAGTGTTCTTATTGTGGCAGAGGGAGGATGCAGGGGGTGAGGTGACTCATAGTTTCTGCTGCAATTTGTGTAGGAAGAGTGGTTCATTCCAGTAGCAATATGGAATTTTTAGGGCTTTGCTATTAGTACAGTAGAAATCTTCACTATAAGAAGAGATGGCTTAGGGAAACCAGCGCCCGACATTTTCTATTCTTGCTACAGACTGGAGGAACTACCTTGTTTGGAAGTTGGGAGTTGGTTTCCTTTGGTGGAATTGCATAGACATGATATCTGCCATTAGCCATCTTGCTGACATTGATCAACTAGGTTAGTAAGGAAAAAGAAAATATGTTTGGGATATTTCTAATTAAGTCTTAGATGCTAAGTTATTCCTATCATGTATAGTTAAAACTCATTGAGCATTAGTATTTTAATTTCAAAATTAATGTTTCGTGTAGTAGGGTGTGGAAAAAGCGTGGTTATATATGATTAATGCATGTATAGAAGTATCCCTACTAATATATATAATTAAAATGCACAAATAAACACAAAAATGTGTATTATTGTTAGTTTTTCATAAGATCTCAACTACCAGAGCTGGACCAAGACATATGGGATTATACTTGATCTAAAACTCTGACAAAATCTAAAAATGTTATTTGATGTTATAAAGAAAATATGGAAAGAACATTATGCAATTTAAATTAAGTATAATTGTTACCACTGATATGCAATGTATTTGGAATATTAATTTCCAATCCCCTTTCTTAAGGGAATTTGTGGAGAATTAGTCACATTTTTATTCTGGAGAGTCTTCAGCTTTTTGCACCTCTTTGTTCTTATAAGCTCTCTCCATCCACCAGTCTATCCTAATTCCATGCTAATCTGGCCAGGATGGTAGCTTTTCCTTGTGGTGGGCATTCCTTCACCCTCTGTGTTGGCAGATGCTCAGCATGACTCAACTCTAGTTCTGGGAATATCTTGTATTTTGTATGCTCCAGCCCTGGAACCATGATTTCTCTAAGGACTGTGGCTCCTTTAGTGAGGAATGACATTTAAAAAATAAGATCTGGTGTGGGCTCGGGCTGTAGCTCAGTGGTAGAGACCCTGCCTTGCACTTGTGAGGCTCTGGGTTCGAGCCTCAGCACCACACACAGACAAAAAAAATAAGTAAAGATATTGTGTCCATCTACAACTAAAAAAATATTAAAAATAAATAAATAAGATCTGGGTACTAAGGTGCTTACTACTCCTGATAGATCATTATTTCTAGGACATCTTGCACATGAACACAGATACACATAAATATGTTTGTTTCTATATTTATATAAATGTGTATTTATCCCTTTATCTATCAGTATACTAAAGACTATGGGTCATAAATATACCCCAATTCCAGTCCAATACCATTTATCCTCGTATTTCTTAACAGTGAGAAATTTGGCCTCTGTTATCCTTAATATATCCAGTAAGTTCAAACTTAAAATCCACAGATAAACCATGGTGAAAAACAAGCCTACTAATTAGAGTTTGATATGTTTGTGGTTGTTTTTGTCTTTCACTGAAGAAGTATAGTCAAAATATTGTGTTTGAAACAGTTACCTGGGTAGGATCAGTGTAATTATGTTATTTTCATCTGAAGTATGATTAGGTCCATTTTGTTTCTGTTTATAGTCCTTTTAGGGTTCTCTCTCTTACTCTTACTGGTTTCTATTTATTTATTTATTTGGGTACCAGAGATTGAACTCAGGAGCACCTGACTACTGAGCCATATCCTCAGTCCTATTTTGTATTTTATTTAGAGACAGAATCTCACTGAGTTGCTTAGCACCTCAATTTTGCTGAGTCTGGCTTTGAACTTGCAATCCTCCTGCCTCAGCCTCCTGAGCCACTGGGACTAGAGGTGTTTGCCACTGTACCTGCTCTTTTAATTTATTTTTTGAATACATAAAATACTTACATGGTTTCAAAGGCCAAATAGCATTTTAACGTTATTACATTTTGAAGAAAAATAAACACTGCTAAACTATGGTGAGTATTCTTAAGTGGGAAAAAAAATAACTCTGACTTTTCTATAAAAAGTTTTTTAATTGTTCCCCCCCACCTTGGAAATTTAAGTGAAGACTTTGCTGAATATAATGGCATAATGCACAATTATCAACTATTTTTTTCTCTTTATAAATTCTTTAGCAATCCAACATAGAGGCTCTAAAATCAGGCATACAAGGTAAAATTCCTGCAAACCAGCTGGCTGAACTGTGGTTGAAGCTGATAGATGATGTTATAGAAGACACAAGGTATAGTGATCTTATTCCTATCTCAGCATTCCTAGCCCATGCTCCCCTTCCTGAAATTCTTTTATTCTTTTTTTTTAATTGGTTGTTCAAAACATTACAAAAATGGGAGTTCATAACCCTTCCTGAAATTCTAAGAGTGCAAGAGCTTCTAGAATTGTCTCAATTATTTGTTTAAACAAATGAATTTGAGCTATTTGGGCCTCTTAAAAGGCCCTTACTGGGAGGAGTCTCAGAATCACCGCCAGGAAAAGCTCTGCTTTGTGATTTGGTGCCAGGGGAGGTAGAGGCCCCACTCCAGGAAGCGGCCCTGGGCAGATTGGGGAGGGGTGGGTGTGGGGAGGAGGAAGCAGGTCTCTGCCTGTGCTTCCCCAAGATCCATGATGCCCACCGCCCTGACTAAGGGAGACTCCTGGCTCCCTCAAAGAATAGCATCTGGGGGTGGAGGATCCATCTGGCTTTTAGAACAATATTCCTAATCCACAAACATGCTTTTAAAAACTTTTCTTTTTACTTGCTCTTTTACTGAGTGCCTAGTGAACACTGTGGCAAAACCAGTAAATAGGACCAGAGCCAGAGGACGACGCATCACAGCTGTGACTTGGGGAAGCAGCTCAGATTTGTTGCATTTGGGAAATCAAAGGGGGAAGTGATTCACTCCAAGATCATTTTACATATGTTAATGAAGCAGTGGGCAGGGAAGTTTTGAAAGAAAAGCATTTTGAGGACTTTTCCTTTAACAGCAGGAGTCCTGCACTTTCCCCCCTCTAGGGTACTGCCCTAAGTCACCCTGTCTTCTGGTGCCTTCTAGTGGTTTAGCTGGGTCATTGAAAAGTAGTTGAAATCAAAATAACCACCAGGGAGCTTATTTAGCACTCAGAGAATTTTATAACTGAGTCCTAATGGATCCTCTCTTAGTCTCCTCATCTTATGGGTGAGAAAACAGAAGCCCAAAGAGGTAAATTGATACCTGGAGTTGAGTTCACCCTCTCAGGCCTTCTTCCTGCCCTGTGCTTCACAGTATCTATTTCACACAGGTCTCAAGTGTGACTTCTGAACCAAGAGCTTTCATGTCTATTTTTGCCTTACAGAATCATTCCAAGGTCTTCATTTGCCTATATTGCCATACTTATTAATGAAATAGTAAAACAGAAACAATTAGTAACTTTCATGTAGAGGGGCTGAGGTTGTGGCTCAGTGGTAGAGCACTCTCCTAGCAAGTGTGAGGTTCTGCGTTCGATCCTCAGCACCACATAAAAATAAATAATAAAATAAAGGAATATTAAAAAAAAACAACTTTCATGTAGAAAATTCTTGGGAACTTTAAGGTTTGCTGAGGCAAACGATATGAGCTGTTTTTGAAGAATGCAATTGGAATCCTTTTTAACTTTATGTGACAGGAAATTCAGTGTTTAAGGGAAACCATACGAGGATTTCCTTCATTTAAGGAGCTGGGTGAAATTCAAATGATTAGAAATTCTAGGTGGAGACAATGTGCTTAGGACTTCCTGGAGTTGGTGACAGCCTCACCCCATGGTCCTACTAGCTGCCATAATGAGAGGGAAGGGCTGGTGGCAGAAGGCTAGTCTGGGCCCCATTTTCTGTAACCCTCTGGGGTTACAGAAGTCATTAGACTTCCCAAGTCTTATTTTGAATGAGGTCTTGGCTTGCACAAGTGGTTCTTACTCTTTTGGAACTTGTGGGCCCCTTTGAGAATCTGATGAGATGATGATAATGGTGAAGACCAGGGTGAGATGACGATGGTGGCGATGAGAGCAGTATTACTTAGACTTATTGTACAGTAGGCATGGATCTGAATGTTCTCCATAAAAATAGATATCATTTTCCCACATTTGAAGATAGTAGAATAAGAGATTGAATCAAGAACCCAGAACTAGTAAATGGTAGAGCCACAATTTACTATCGTACCCAGAGAAGTACCTCCAAGGCTGCCCATTATTAATCGTAAGTATGTCACCTGCATGTTTTCACAGACATATATGCTTTTCTTAGACCGTCTGAGGCCCACCTGTAGACAGCCTAAAGGTTCTTGGTCCCAAAGTTTACACTTCAGCTAAATGACCTCTAACTTCCCCTCTTCCTCCATCATTTTGTGGATCCATACAAATACTCTAGGAAGCAAAAAGAAGGAAGGTCACTTTCTCCCAGCTGCTGCCATATTCATCTTCTTCCCAGTGTGACTCCATAGGCCTTAGGTCAAACCCAAGGAATTGCTTCAGAATGTTAATCCCCTTTTCTGCTCTGCATATGCAAGATATCCTCAACTGCAGCTGAAACCAGGCAATGCTTGTAGAATCCCTGAGGAGACTGATGTGGTTTGCAAGATGCAAACCAAAAGCAAATGACTGTTTTTCGACCTAGAGTGTTATTCTTCACTGTTTCTTCTCTTTCCTTCTTTAGATACACCTTGCCCCTCACAGAAGGAAAAGCTAATGTCACAATTCTTGATACTCAGATCCGGAAGTTGAGGTACAGATCTCTATCCCAGATACAGGAGGCAGCTGTGAGGATGAGGTCTGAAGCCACGGATGTGAAGTCCACATTGTTAGAAATTGAGGACTGGCTTGATAAATTAATGCAACTGACTGAAGAGGTAAGACTTTTAAACTACACACAACCATGGAAGGAGGAGTCTGTGAAATGGCCCCAGCATAGGGGTGGTAGATGGTATATCTAGGATGTCACATGGGATCAGTGAACACATAAAAAAATAAAAAATTTATTGGACTTGGGAGGCTACTGGGTGGGGAGGGGGTTAAAGTCAATTGAAATCAGAGCAGGAAAATAATTTTGAGTTGGTTTCTGGAAAATTTTTTCAAAAGGGACAAATTATGATTTCCACAGTACTAAGAGGATATTTTGAGTGATACTTTGAGTAGTAGCAGATCAGTGTAGTACAGAGGATTAAATACCATCAGCTTTGGTTGAGGTTAGAAAGACGTGGATTTAAATCCTGAATCTATCATGTATAACTTAGGGCAGTTTATTCAACCTACCTTAGCCTCAGTTTCCCCTCTGTAAAGTGGAGATGGACATAGTACATGGCATTGCTGTGTGAAAATTTAAAGATGGTCATGTAAAGTTTTAGCACAGTGTAGGGCACGTGGTATAAATGTGGGGTAAATGCTAGCTACCACTCACCTTGGTGGCCCAGAAGAACAAGAGAGTAAAAGGAACTCTCTTGTCTGTCAGATGTCAAGGGATGTCTTAGTTCCTCTTGCTATAACAGAATACCACAGATTGGGTAATTTGTAAAGACCAGAGACTTTGTACAGTCTAGAGGTTAGGAAGTCCAAGATTGAGGGGCCTGCCCTGGTGAGGACTTTCTTGTTGCCTTATTCCATGGCAGAAAGCTGCAGGGCCAGAGAGTGTGAAGGAGAGAAGCAAGCAAGAGGGGGCTGAACTCATGCTCATAACCAACACACCCAAGTTATTGAAATTAATCTGTTAGTGAGGGAAGAGCCCTTGTGACTTAATTATTAGGACCTCTTATTAGGCCCCACCTCCCAACATTGTTAAACTGGGGACAAAGTTTCCAACAGTGAAGTTTGGGAGACACATTCAAACCATAGCAGGTACATGGTAATATATTTGTGGAAAGAAATATATTTTAATTATAAGTTAATTTTGTTTCTGATTTTGTATGCTTTGGTACTTTCAAAGATTTCTATAGTGATCAGAAAAAAAGAGGGGGTTAAGAACGAAAATTTTTAGATTTGGCAAATATTGGATTATGGGATATAGATGCTCTGTGTTCTATAAAATATATGCAACCTGTAGCCCTTTGCTGCTGATGACTTTCTTCAAATGATAAGAGGGAACATTTCCTAAAACACCTCCCAGAGCAGAGCAGATAGAGCTCTTTCAGGATGAAGCTCCCTCTGATTCTCCCTATTCCCTTTGGCCAGCCTTGGCCTGCCTACCTGCCCTGCATGCTCACAGTGTGGTTCTAGAAGATGTGAATTTCAGGAACTTGGGACAGAGCCCTTATCACAACACTTCTTTGCTGAATGAGGCCCTGGGAGTCCAGCCTACTGCATCTCCTCCCATCTCTCTGCATCTAGACTAACCATTGCTTTGCTTCCTTTCCCGTCCATCTCATATGCCCAGCCGCAGAATAGTATGCCTGACATTATCATCTGGATGATCCGAGGAGAAAAAAGACTGGCCTATGCACGAATTCCTGCACATCAGGTTTTATACTCCACCAGCGGTGAGAATGCATCTGGGAAATACTGTGGGAAAACCCAGACCATCCTTTTGAAGGTACATGTCTTCCACTTGTAGTATAAACACTTAAGTGCAAAACTGTTATTCTGGAGAAGAGACTTCTTTATAATTTACTAATCACTGGGTGGCTAGGGTGCCTGTCATCACTTCTAGTCCATTCTGGCTAAGATGGCAGCTAGACTGGGCCAGAACGAGGGGTGATAATTCTCAGAGTGATTTGAGGTAGACAGGCGGTTATGGACACCTCCCTAGATGTCTTTGTGTTATTAATATCAACATGGCATTGTAAGTGCTTTGCTTTCTGGCACGAATTGTCTACTTACTCCATAATGTCTCATGTCAAAGCATGCCTTTCTTCCCTTCATTTTAGTGAGTGTTTAGGGGAAAAAAAGAGAAAGTGGTATGCTAGTCTTTGGAATCTGTTGCTCTAACCAAGCAAGTCCTCGAATTGAAAATTTTTGAGAATTGCTATGTTAGGGCAGAGTTCTGAACTTTTTTTAGAGTCATAGACCCCTTGAAGCACTTGGTAAAAGCTACTGGACCTCTTCCCCAGAGAAACACATGTCACCCCTGCACCTGACATTTTTGCCCCAGCTCTGAGAAAGTCCCAGAACCCTGATGAAGAACCTCTGTGTGCATTTGGAGAACCAAAGGAAAGAAAAAAGGAGAGTTGAGGAAGAGGGTTCTCTTAAAATAAGGAGCTATCTGCTAACTTTTAATAAATGTACTCATTGCTCTTTATTCAGGAAGGTGTAAATAGAATCCGAGTGATTATCTTTCTTTCAAGTGTTTTTTGCAGAATAAATCTTACTTAAGATAGAACCACAATGATAATTGACCTCAGCAGTGGGTAGAAGCAAACTGATTAATAAATAAAACTTCACAGGGGGCAGGAGACAAGGCAGAGCGACATTCTCTGTATTAGATTTTGGAACTCACTGGATAGACAGCAAAATGCTTTTAAGAAATTGCTTCATAGCTTTTCTTTGTAAGTACTCATTATCCAGCTTAAGAAGCCATTTAATTCAGCGGGTTTTTGGATTTGAGACTCCTATAAAACTTTTAAAAAATTATTAAAGACCCAGAGAGCTTTTGTTTATGTGGGTTGTATATATCAATATTTGCCAAAATAGAAATTAAAACAGAAAATTTAAAAATTTTTATTAATTCATTTAATAATAGCAATTGCTAGGGCTGGAGGTATAGCTCAATGGTAGAATGCTTGCCTAGCATGCACAAGCCCTGGGTTTGATCCCCAGCACCACAAAACAACAAAATAACAACATAAACTTCTTGCATGTTAACATGAATCATATATTTTTATGGTATATTCTGAAAAAAATCAGAGAACAGAGTGATACTGTTTTACATTTTTGCAAACTTTTTAAATGTCTTAGCAGAAATAAAAATGGATTCTCAAATCTGTGCATTTAAACTGATGGGATAAGTTATTTGATGTATAGGAAGAAACGCTGGTCTCATACAGATATATAATTAGAAAAGGAAGGATTATTTTAATAACCCTTTCAG